GAGCTCTAAGGAAAGCCTTTGTATATCCTTAGTCAGCTGAACCTGCTGTTGTAGATCATGAAATTGTTCCTCTAATGAGAGAAGGGCGGAAGATGGACCAGGCGGTCGCTGAAGACCAGGGGGTAGTTCTGCAGCAGCAGGAGCCATAACCCGGGGGAAATGGTATCGGGCTGCCTCTTGTGCTAATTGTGACCAATCAACTTCCTGGCCATTGGAAAGGTCAGGGTAAATAGGGCGGTATGGAGGAGGGACCGTGGCGGCGCCATTTTGAGGACCCTCGTGGTCTCCAGACAAAGGGAATGTCGGCACATCGCCATCTTGAACAGGCTCCGGGATCTCAAGGACAACAGAGCCGGGAGGGCTGGGCGCCTTAGATAAGACCGGTGGTGGCGGAGTATGATTGCGGGAGGCAGCTAACGCAGCCTCACCCTGGGCGAGCGTCTCCGCGAGCTGGGGATCTGCGTGACGTTGTGCCAGCAGCTCAGAGATTAAAGTCCAATATGAAAAAGCAGTTACAGGAATCTTTTTTGGGCCAAAAACTTTATAATAGTCTTTAAGAGCATCTCCTACTCTATTGCACCTGTTTAAATTAATGGTACCCTCTAGGGGGAACCATGGACACACTGAATGTATAAACTGAAAGTACTATATTAGTTCCTTTGTCTTAACCTTAATCCCTCTAGTCTTGAGTGCCTCCCTGAGGCCAGGCACGAACAATTCATGCTCACTGAGTGCTTGTCCCATGCTAACGCCGTTCACCTACCGTGATTCAGGCGAGACGTAAGGTGGCCGTCTGCTCAGATCACAGGAACGAAGTCCTTGAATCAGTCACTCTGGCCAGCGCTTTACTCCTATGAACGGTCCCGCATCGTTATCCCTCGTGCCAGGTGGGGTCCCTTTGTGGTCGCCACTTGATCCAGCCCGCGGATCAATCCATGGGTCTCACCTGGAGAGGGGATCGGGGATGGGGGCAGGGCAAGAGAAAAGAGAGACCCGAAACTTGATGGGATTCCATTCAAGTCTCGTTTATTTTTAAAATGGCTACAACTTATATAGGGTGGAGGCGGGCCAAAGGCAGGAAGAAGGCTTAATCTGATAGATCATCGTCACATCCAGTTATATGATATAAGCAGGAGAGGATTATGGGTAATGTAGGCAGGCTGAAACAGGAAATTTGCTTGTCATGTGCATTGCAGGCAAGGGGAGGATCATGGGAAATGTAGGCTGACACACAAAATGCCCTCAGGCAGGAGGGGCAGGGCAGCAGCAGCTATTGCTCCCTACACTGGACCCTGGTGAGATATTTCTAACCTGCTGGTAGGAGGTGGAGCCTGACTGGGGGAGGAGGGTCCTGAGGCCAGGGCCTGCAAGGTTTCTCTCCCTGGCTCCTCCCTCTGCTTCCTAAGCCCTGAGCCTCTCTCCAGTACCAGACCCACCAGCCACGCCCTCTCACCTTGGGGCCAGCTATGAACTAAACCCATTAGCCAAAATAACTTCTTTATAGACATCAATACTGTGTTCCAGCAAGAAGAAAGTGACTAATACCTGTCCTAGTTTACTTTCCCACCAAACTTAAAGGAATGTAACAAAAAACACCCTGCAACAATGTAAAAATCCATACCTTTCACTTTCCTCCAAATAAGAGCATATTTACATACAAAAACAGTGTCCTTGAGATATTTATCCTGGATGGGAGGGGGCAGCACAGAATATGGGAGTTTAGCCACCAACATGACCACAGTAGGCGTCTCCCCCTCTCTGGGGACGGACTTTCTGTCTGTCTCCCCTCTGAGATATCTCCCTATCATTTTCATCTCTTAACTCCTGCCCCAAATCAGGGCTGCCAGAGACCGTGCCAAGCTAAGCAACACCTGGCCCTCCCCGTGTCTGCCAAGGATCCTACTTGGACTCGTAAAATGATTATCGGGAGGTGAAACACTGCCTGGAAAATATGGCTTTCCACAGGACCTTGGCTCGGTCTGCGTGGAAGCCCTTCCCATGTCCAGAATTGCTCTTCAATCTTTTTGGCCAGAACCTGGCTTAGAGGAGAAAACCCACCAAGTCCACACCATCCTGTGGGAAATTTCTGCCCCTTCTTTACCATATTTCTTCTTACCAGGGTGTTTTGGGTGTGACCTCTGGCATTCTGGCTGAGCCAAAGCCAAACATTTCTTTAGCTTTCTTGGAGGCTGTATTCATGGAAGCAGAGGTGGAACAGTGGTAAACCAAGGAAGGAGAGATGGAGAATGGTTGGTTAAGGGATCAAAAAGTTACAAAAACAAAAAGAGAGACTATTCTAAAATGGGTGTGGCAGTGTGTACCTGTAAATCAAGATCAGGAAGGCTGAGGCGGGAGGGGTTCCAGAGAGCTCTTCCATGTTAGATAAGAAACTTGACCTCTCTGCACCTCAGGATAATTGTTACTAATAACACATCATACCTATGAGCTCAGTATGTGGCCCATTATAAAGCTGTAGATATGTTTCACTGAACAATATATAAACCTGCTGTTCTTGTAGGTCAAAAACATTCAAATATCACAGCTGGGCATGGTGGCCCATGCCTTCTCAGCACTCAGGAGGCTGAGGCAGGAGAATTGCTTGTGAATTTGAAGCTGGCCTAAGGCTCCATAGTGAGACTCTGTCTCAAGACAATGAAAACAAAACAATTCCAATGTCAGTAATTTCAAATGGCTCACCCCAGCTGAACTCTGTAAAAAATGGGGCGGGATTGATAGAAAAGTCAACCAACAAAGATGAAATCTTGGAACTCAGGAAAGCTCAGGTCCTGCCTCATGGTGATGACACTGCCCGGGGACCTCCTGGGCTGGCTGCACGCCTGCCTCTCTGACGCCTCCCTTCTCTCAGCTGGCACATGCCAGGCCTTAAAACTTCCAGGAAGAAAGGCCCAGTAGCTTTAAGAGCATCACGGCTTGCCAACCGTGGGGTTTGGCTAACGGCACCCTCCACACCTTAAAAAGATATAGAAAGTTCTGTTCAAGGCCCTTTCACAATACCTGTGACTCATAGAGGTTACTGGGTGACAGGGCAGGAGGCTGAGCTTTGACATTGCGTGGGTTTTGTGCAGAACATGGGTCCTACTGGCTGACGGGTAGCCCTGGTCAGGCCCAGGCTGGTTATGCAGGGCTGGCGTGCCCCACACAGTGCTCTGCCCCCAGTGATGTCCCGGGCCCTCCCAATGCAGTTTTCTTCTTCTTGGTTCCTTTTGTTTTCTTGCTTGTTTGATTTTGGTTTTGTTTTGTTTTGTATTCTCAGTGATCCGGGACTAACATTTTAAGACCCCAGCAGACAGCACCTAAGCAGAAACAACCACGAGAGATGTCTCAGTGTATATCTGTGGCCACACAAGAAGCCTCGCAGAATGTTCGGGGACAGGATTTCTGGGTGCCACCTGCTGCCTATGCACAGGGACAATGACTCCTCGGGCACCTTAACGAGTTTGTCTTTATAGAAAAACGTATTTTCAGAGGCATCCCCTCCCCCACGGCCGGGTGGCCTCCACGGGGTGTAGACCAGGGCAGTGGGAGGTCATGAAGAGAGACAGCGTTGTCCACACCAGGCTCTAAGACAGCCCTGGGCTGATTCTCCTGCCTGAGCCCCACCTCCAACACCTGCAGAATTATAGCCCGGAAGCAGCTGGCTCTTTAGTAGGAGGGCACCACCCACAGACTGGACCCGCCCTCACACCTGTGACAGGCCACCAGCTTGCTCCCCGACATCACTCCACCAGGGAACCAGACCGGTGGCCTGACCCTTCCTGCAGCCGCTGGACTTGGGGCTTCCAGGAGCAGGGCTGTGGCCTCTGCCCCCGGCATAGCAGCCGTCGGAAAGCTCCACTCCAGTTATGAATTCTCTCTTGGCAATACATTGTTGTCACAGCCATGGGATGTAAATAGCTGTGTACAGATATGTAGCTACAATTTTAATTAACGCATACTAATTACACATATTTGCAGTGATATTTTGATACATGAATGCAATATGTCACGATCAAATCAAGGTAGGTAGCGTTTATTTGTGTTGGAGAACTTCTCTGTCCTTGTTATTTTCAGATAAATAATAAAGAACCGCAAACTACAGTTGCCCTCCTGTGCTACAGAACTTGGGGACTTTCCCCTGCCCAGCCTCCCTCCATGTCCTCCCCTGTTCTCCTCCTGATGTCTCTGAGAGACAACTAATGTCTAATGTGTGTTTCTGTGTTTTACTTAATGTTCTGTGTGTTGGTTTGGGTGGGGGGTCAGTGTTGTTTGTTTTTGTTTTGGCTTTTCTTTCAAGATTACACATTCTAACTGGGCACAGTGGTGCACACACGTAATCCCACCACTCGGGAGACTGAGGCAGGAGGATTGCCAGGAGCTCGAGGCCAGCCGGGTTACACAGTGAGCTCAGGACCAGACTGAACCAGATAGCAAGACCCTGCTCCCTCCAAAAAGGACACCCCGCCAAAAAAAGACTAGATATTCTGATTTTTTTTTTTTCTTTTTGAGACAGGGTCTCACTATGTGGTTCAGGCTGGCCTTGGGCTCACTTTGTAGACCAGGCTGGTCTCAAACTTAAATGATCCTCCCTACCTCAGCCTCCTGAATACTGGGATTACAGCAGTGTGCCATCACGCCTGGTGATATTCTGATTTTTGCAGACAATCTCTCCATTTCTATTATTTTTATGACTAAGCACAGCATTGCCCCAAATGCTGCACACTGAAGAAAAGGACTTATTTTGTCAGCAACTCTGTGACATGGAGTCTATTATTGTCCCCAACTCACTGAGAAGAAAAACCAAGACCAGGTGACATCACTAATCAATGACAGAGCTGCACTCTGCCCTGGGGAATCTGCCTCCAGACACCCACTCTGCTCTTAACTGGACCTGCGGCAGGCTCCTAGGTTGGCAAAGTTACACTACCATAATAGTCCATCCTGGCAAAGGGGCGGGAGCCTGTGAGGATCTGGTGGTATGCACTTCTAAAGAGCAATCTGGCCTGGCTCTGATTCAAGGCCGGCAGCTTCCTGTCACTGTTGGTTTCAACCAGGAGCCTAAAGAGATGTCTTTCTGTGGTCTGTTGGCCATTTCAGAACTCAGGCAGTGAAATGGCCAATTCATTAGAAAGAAACACCACCTTGAAGCAACCCTGCCTACCCTGTGATGGCTGTGAGCATGGCAGGCTGCAAGCGGCCCAGGACAGGAACCTTCGGCATTTACTGGAACCCGCACCATGCTGGGACCTGGAGCGCTGGGAAACCAAGCAACCCCTCCCCGCTGCCTGTTTTGTTTTGTTGAACTTCAATATACATGAAAGTGTGGACAGTTATTTTGAAGAGAACAGAGAGCCTCTACGACAGCCATTAGTGACTTCCCTACTGTCTGGTTTTGAAGACCTAAATCGCCTTCTTCATTCTGTTCAGATCAGTTTTATACTATGCTGTTTTGTATGAATTCTCTGTATGCAAAGACAGGGACAACTATTTGGAAGAAAACAAGAGACAGTATGATAGACAGTGAAGATCTCAGGTCGTCTAGCTTTGAAATTTATCTCTTACATTGCTTTCTTATGTCCTATTTTGTTCTGTTTAATTTTACCCCCTTTAAAATTAAAATTAAAAAAAGAGCAGTTTGGCAAAATGTAACTTTAAAATATGCACATGGGGCACTTAGGTTTACAAACTTAATGTTTTCCATGATTTTGGTTGCAGGATTCATTCCACAAATCTGGTAGCCCGAATTGCAACCACAATCATAGAGAGAATTAAGTTCATGAACCAAAGCATCACTGTATTCATTTCTCTGATGCAGCAAATTTGCTTTTTAAGATTCAACATCTAGATCACGTGTATCCACCCCCAAAATGCACACACACACACACAATAAATGGTTTATTGCATCGTTGTTTGTAACGGGAAGGCAGCAGACAGAACTTTGACTGATTAAATAATAAACACAGAATGAGAGGTGGATAAATCCTGACCATCAAACATCCATCGAAGAAGTTGGGAAGGACTAACAGTGAGTACCGTATCCATTTAAATACAAAACTGACGTTCTAGAACTGTGCAGAGAAGCTGGGTACCGTAGTCCAAGCCTGTAATCCCAGCAATCTGGGAGGCTGAGGCAGGAGGATCATTCATCTGAGCTCAGCCTGGGCAGCTTAGGAACTTAGCGAGACTCACCTCAAAGTAAAAAAGGGCTGGGGGTGTAGCTCAGTGTGAAGTCCCTGGGCTCAATCCCCAGCACCACCCCCACCAAAAAACAAAGTAGATGTTCCCCGGGTGAGGTGCTATAAATAAATGTTAATTAACCTCAGTGAGGCCCCAGAATGGAGTCACATTGCAAAACGGCAATAACTGAAAAGAACTGTGAGAATTATGGTAGCAAGCACACGTCCAAGGTCAGCACAGGAAGGGAAAGCGGGAAACATAACGTGGACACGCACTTCCTCATCTGCTCAGGACTTGAGGGCGTCCAAAATGGGAATGTGTTTTTAAAATGACTTCCAGAACTCTATCTTTTCCAAGCCAGGCCTGGTGGTGCACATCTATCATCACAGCACTTGGGAAGCTGAGGCAGGAAGGTTGTCCACAAGTTCAAGGTCAGCCTGGGCTACCTGCAGAGGTCAAGGTCAGCCTGGACTACATAGTGAGACTCCATCCCAAAACAAAACAGAACAAAGCACAGTTCATTGTTTTCCATCACCGTATCATATTTACCTAGTTTTTTTTTTCTTTTAAAGCTTATCATTTAGGCTTTAGATGTAGCTCAGTGGGAAAGCATTTGCTCAGCAGGCATGAGGTTCAAGACTTGTGCCCAGCACTACAAAGTAAATCAATAAATAAATATTGTGAAATATTATCTGGGTGTGGTGGTGCATCCTTGTAAGCCCAGCACTCTGAGAGGCTGAGGCAGGAGGACTGCAAATGTGAACCAAACCTGGGCAACTTTGTGACTTAGCAAGACTATCTTAAAAAGAATAAAATAAAGTAAAATAAAATAAAAAGGGTGGAAATGTAGCTCAGTGTGAAGGCCCGGGTTCAGTCCCAAATACTTAAAAAAAAATTACCTTTTTGGTGAAGAAAATTATACTAATACATGCAGTATTTTTCATTGAAAAATCACCCATCATGCTCAGCTTGAGATTCCCATGCACCTGGCTAGCTCGGCAGGAACCAGGGCTTCCTGGATGAAGGGGGGACTCCAGGTGGGGAAGCAGAGGATGGGCTCCCGTGAGGAGGCTGCTGTACGGGGGGGGGGGGAGGCTGTCAGAGCCCCTGGGGTCTGGCCAGGGACAGAGCCAGAGGATGGGTTCTCCCTGGCTGAAGATGACCCCCACTGAGCCGCGATGTGGATCACCTAGTCAAACATCAAATATTCCTGCATCCACGAGCTCACAGCAATCCTCAACATTAGAATTCACTGGAGTCAGGCGTGGTGACATATGCCTATGATCCTAGTACTCAGGAGGCTGAGACAGGGGGATCACTGCGAGTCTGAGATCAGCCTGGGCTACATAGTGAGTTCAAGGCAAGATTGCACTAATAGCGAGTCCCTGTTTCAAACAAACAAACAAGCAAATCTATTTTTGAATTTTGTCTCTACTGAACAGGTAAGTGACAGCATTTATACTCTGTTAAAAATGAAGGGTCATCTAGAGATGGCTGAGTACATGCAGAAGGCTTCCGTACAAACAGCACCATTTATACAAGAAGGTTGGCCTTCAGAGTCCCCAAGGGGGTCTCCTGGAGCCCGTCCTCTGGAGAATGGAGGACTGTGTCTCCAGCTAGAGCCGACTGCTGCATGTGAGCTAGGGGTAGACAGAGACAAAGAGTGAGAGAGAGAACCTCCTGCCTAGTGCCAGGGCTTAAGAGCTATTTCAAACAAAAACAGCGTGTGAATTTAATTTGGATCTGGGTTGAAATAAATTATTTAAAAACTTAGAAGGCTTTTGGGAAAGTTTAAGTAGGGACCTGATGTTGACGTGGTATTTGTGGTTTGATTTTGTCCTTTTCTTCTTTCTTTTCTATTTTATTTTCATGGTTTTTTGAGACACTATGCAATTCAGGCTGGTCTTGATCTCACAGTGTAGCTCAGGCTAGCCTCAAACTCATGACGATGCTCCTGACTCAGCCCATGGAGATCCTCCTGACTCAGCCAACTAAGTGCTGGAATTACAGCCATGTACCATGATGCTTGGTGCTTCTTTCTTTCTTTCTTTCCTCCTTCTTTCTTGTGGCTTTTGGGGTTTTGAGACAGAGTCTTTCTATGTAGTCCAGGCAGGATGTAAACCCACCATATAACCCACAGCAGCCTCGTACTTAATCCTTTTGCCTCAGCCTCCCAAGTGCTGGGATTATAGGTGTGTGCCACTGTGCCTAGTGCATAATGCTGTTTTAAAAGTAAAAGCCCTGGAGGAATTTCAGGACAGTGAAATGATCTGTATGAATAAATGTATCACGGCAAGAGTCAACTCCAATCTGGGCATGGGGGGGCTGTGAGACACCAGTGCGGGGTCACCTGATACAACAACCACACTCATGTGGTCTCCAAGGTGACAACTGGGGAGGTGATCATGGAGCGGGGAGGGGTTGTATGGGACTCTGTCTCTTCCCCTCAATTTTGCTGTGAACCTCAATCTGCTAAAAAAAAAAGAGAGAGAGAGAAAGAACAAGAAGAAGGAGAAAGAGAAAGTCTTTATTTACAAAATGAGCTCTTACCTGTGAGAGATACATACTGAAATACACAGCACCGATATCCGGGGTCCACTGCAAAACAATTGGGGCGCTGCAGAGGTGCAAAGGTCAGTGAAGCAGATGCGGGTTGGTGAGGAACGCATGGGAATTTACCAGGCTGCTCCTTTCACTTCTGTTTCTGCTGAGACATCTTCATAATCAGAGCATTTTAAAGTAGACAGGGAATTACACCATTTGTGTAAAATTAATGAGCTAGGAGCCAGGTGTGGTGGCATAACCCAAATCCGAGCACTCAGGAGGCTGAGGCAGGAGGATCACTGCAAGTTCAAGGACAGCTTGGGCTGCATAGCAAGTCCCCATTTCAAAAAGAAACACAAACAAACAAAAAATTTCCAAAGGAATCTCATTAGCCTGTATTACTAATATACACTAATTTAAAAAATCCCAGTAACAGAAGAAATAGAAGTTGTGTGCCTATTTGTGTATATACACTTACATAATGTATTATTGCATAGGAATATATGATATATACAACATCTACGGGTTTAATATACTTATATCGATATCTGCTGGTGTCTGCTTCCTTTTGATTAGAAAATTTATCTAATTTAGTTGGAACTGACCATTCCGGTGCTTTTCATGGGAAGAATGTCAGTGCAAGGTCCAAGGAGGGCCAGGTGACCGCTGTGGATGCTGACACTCACTCCTCATGGCTGGTTCTGGACGACTGTACACCTGCTGCTTCTGTTGGGGGCTGAGGAGCTGGGGTTTATCTCCAGACTCCAGCTCTAAGAGCCACCCATTGGGTACATTTCCAGGTCTTCTGGCCAAACCCCGCATCAGCTAAGCATGCACTTGTGTAGAAATTCCCAAGTGGAGTGGGAGAAACAGTCCATGGCAGAGCAGACAGGAATCAGCACAGAAGCAGCAGTTTCCTCCCTGTCCCCTTCGTTCCAAGATTTTTGGGTGGTGTCCCCACATCCTGGGTGGACCACTCCATATCCACACCCGGAACTGTGCTACACCACGTTAGTTATAACACACCCCCAACCCCTGCATCACACTCCCTCAGCCAGCCACCTCCAAAGAGCCCTCTCTACATGTGTGCACGGCCGTGGGGGGACATCTAGACATAAGTCATAACAAGTGTGGCGATGCTGTTGAGGCTGGGTGATTGAAACCTGAGGTTCATGACACTGTTCCTTTTACTCTTTTTTTTGTTTTTGTTTTTGTTTTTTATTAATTTGTTTTATTTATTTATTTATTTGGCTGTTTCGTTTTTATAGGTACCGGGGATCGAACTCACGACTCCCTGCTTCCAAGGCAGGTGCTTATGCCGCTGAGCTAAATTCCCAGCCCCCCTTTTACTCTTGTGTATGTTTGCAAATGATCATCATAAAAGGTCCAAAGAAAAAAGGAAAACAGTCAAAGAGTCTCTGATCACGGTGCCTGGCTTTACCACCGTCTATACTGAACTCAGAATCATAACTTCTGCCAGTTTCAGTTTTCTCATCACTAGGATGTAAGAAACATTTTGTCTTCCAGGATTTTTAAAATTCACGATCCTATATAGGCTTAGGATGAGAGGGTGAGGGGTTAGGGATAGAGGGGATTATGTTTGGGTTAGGGGATTACAGTTAGGATTAGGATTAGGGTTAAGGTTAGGAGATTCTCCAGGGATTTTATGAGAATTAGTATGTGAAGACACTAGAAACCCTTGATTAATGCATCTATAAAAAATAAACAAATGCATTCATTATTATCAGTAGAAACTGGCTTGAAGTGTGTATTGCACAGGCATGTTTGACAGGCATCATGGGGTGAGAGAGGCAGGCAAAAGAATTCACATGTCCAACCGGGCATGTTGGCACACCCTATAATTCAGCAGTCTGGGAGACTGAGGCAGGACAATCTCAAATTTAAGCCAAGGATGGGCACTTAGTGATTTAGAGAAATAAAAATTATAAAAGGGCCAGCTCAGTACGAAGACCCTGGGTTCAGTCCCCAGTATAAAAAAGAAAGAGGACCAGGGGCTGGGGATTTAGCTCAGTGGCATAAGCACCTGCCTTGCAAGCAGGCAGTCGTGAGTTCGATCCCCGGTACCGATAAAAATGAAAAAGACAAAAAAAAAAAAAAAAAAAAAAAAAGAAAGAGGACCCACCATGGCGCACACCTGTAACCCCAGCAGTTGAGAGGCTGAGGCAGGAGGATTGCTGTAAATTTAAGGCAAGGGATAGAGAGGAAGAAAGAAAGTCACACGCTGAAGGGAGCAAAAAATTTCCCCTGCATGAGAGAGTAGACCACATACTTACCACAGGTGTTGTAAATGGGGCTGCGAAGCATCTTGAGTGTGACCCGTGGTGGGTCAGGCCTCACCTCCTGGCTCTGCAGGCCCTCATCTCTAAATCCTCTGGGTCCCCAGGAGGAAAGAGCATCACTAGCGGCTGCCTCTGCCAGGTGGTAAACCTGAAGTAATTATGTGATCTGTGTCATGAATCTCTGCTGTAAAATGGCATCGAAAATAAGACAAGAAAAGAAGTCGCTTTCCACCCACCTCTGCTTGCAAAGGTGCATGAAGGGAGGCCCTGCAATTTGCTCAATAAAAGCAGCAGTTATTGGTTGATGTTACCAGAAGGGTTGAGGAGGCAGCTGAGTGGATGGGAATCAATTGATGACAATAAGGATCTCTTTCTCTCCTTGGTTTCCCCCAGAGAAGGCTCATCCTGACTCTCTCACGCATGTGTTTATCATGTGGTGGGAAGGGTAAGCTCAGATGTGAGAAGCTGCCTGGTCCCAAAACACAGCAGCCCGAGGGAGTCTCCTACTTCCTGGTGTCTGCAGAATTCCAAGGAATCATTCTGATTGGCCCCTTGGGGTCATGTGTTCACGGCTCAGACCAATCACTGTCCTGAGTGGGTGGGTGGGTGGGATATTGTGATTGGCCAGCCTGGGTGCTGGGCATTTTAAATATCTGAATTAGGTAGAAATATAGTCCGATAGGGCTAGGTCCAAAAGGGTGTTAGTGCAGAAAATGAAAATATATCAAAACTGTAGCTGGACGCTCATCCAAAGAATGTTAAAGTCACAATGCCCAGACTTACATACTTACCTCAAGATAAATGGAAGCTTGAGGTTACTGGTATCACCTTTTGAGATTTCCCATAGAAACAAACCAGTATCTCCTTAGGGGTGAGGTGAGCCAGGCTCTCCCACTCACTAAGACTGGGATTACTAAGACTAAAGACCAAGATTATCAACCAAGGTATCATCCATGTACACTTGCTTCATGACCTACTTCTCCATTGGATCAACATTACCTAAGCAACTAAACTTGTAATTTTATTGGTTGATCATAATTTTGTCTTACTTTGTACCTACTTCATGATCTTGCTCTCAAACGCTGCCTTTGAGAAGTGGACGCGTCAGCATCCAATCGGGGGCCCCTCTTGCCTCTCGGGAGCCATTCCTATTCCCCAGTATGTTTTTCTACTCTTAATCTTTGTTGTCCCTTAGAATTCATTATCTGACTTTGGGCATACGAGACATCCAGCAGGTCGGGAGCTATATTTATTTCCCCATTGCCCTTTGAGGTCCTCTATCATGGGCAGTGGCGGGTCCTGTGTTTATTACAGTGGCATGGAGTGGGACAGATAAAAACAGGAAACACGGGCTGGGTCGAGAGGGCACAGAGCTGCAGGCCCTCTACCCCAAGTGCCCCAGAACATGAAGTGCCATGGGGCCATGGGTGGGTGGGCCAGCAGGTGCTGGGCTGTGACGGTAACAGAGTGCCCTGCAGCAGTGAGGGGCATCATCCACTGTGCAGTGTAGTCCTGGCGACATGGGGACCAGGAGTGTCAGTGTGGCAGTTCAGAGGGATGCGAGGCCAGGACCCACAGTGCAACTCAGAGGGTGGCCCTTCTGGAGTCTAAGGACCTCAGTGCCCTCCATGTTCCTAACCCCGTCACTTGCCAAAGAAAGCCTAATGCAGACACCAGAGGCTCCATCTGTGGCCTCCTTGTCATGAATGTCCTTGTGTCCCCTCTAGCATGTAGGAGTGGGACCAGAAATCCACCCTGATGATTCTCCAGGAAGCTTTGCCAACCCCTGGTTCCCCACTGGTGATGATCCTGAGGCAGGGTCCAAACTGTCTCCCAGCATCCTCCAAGGGAACTGAGTCCCGTGTGCTCTCCCAGATAGGGGACACAGTGAGATGTCATAAAGTGACCTCCCGCCCTGCATCCCCCACCTGTCCTCTCACTAGGGCTCCTTGAGGTCCCTGGTCAGGAAAGCTTGTGCATTAACTGGAATCACAGGACCTGCCTCCGAGGTAACCTGGAGGCAGCTGAGGCTAACAGGGTGACGCACCGGAGCCTTTCTAAGGGATATTCAGCAAGTTAGGCATGTTGGTGCACACCTGCACTTGGGAGGCTGAGGCAGGAGGGTCACTGTGTTTGAGGCTAAATAATAAGTTCAAAGCCAGCATAGACTACATAGCCTGAATTGCATAAGGAGACCATGTCTCAAAAGACAAAAAACAACAACAAAAAACCCGCTGTCTTCTGAAGGCTAACCACTGTCCCATTGTGTGAACAAATCACATTTTATGTATTTGTCCATCTTTTTTTTTTTTTTGGTATCAGGAATCGAACTCACAACTTACCAGGCAAGCAGTTGAACCACTGAGCTAAATCCCCACCCTCACCCACCTATTGATGGAGCCTTGTCTTGCTTCCATGGTCTGGACATTGTGAAGGACGCTGCTGACCATGTAGGTGCACAAATCTTCCCTCCGGGATCGCGTGTCACTTCCTTGAAGCTGTCATAGTCTCTGTCCTGTTGCAGGGACTAAGCAGGAGAGGCACACTTTGGCTCAGGGTTTCGGTCCCTGCTCAGCTGACTCCAAGGACAACACCGCAGAAGGGGCTGGCAGAGGCCGGCTGCTCCAGTCACTGCGGACAGGAAGTGGAGAGTGAAGGGCGGAGCCGGGAGGGAGACACAGGCTTCCGGCCCCGCCCCCAGGGCGCAGCCCCGCCCACCTCCTGCGTGAGGTCAATCGCTCACCAAGGAAGGAACTCAGAAGTAAAAAAGTGGAACCTGCTTTGGGGAGGGATTAAGTCCTTTTGGTAGAGAATGCAATCAATTACTAAAGAATTTAGGAAAGTTTTTGCAAAGGTTAAATGCTCCATTGTTGTTGTTGTTGTATTATTATTGTTGTTATTTTGGTTTTTTGAGACTGGGTCTCACTATGTAGTTCAAACTGGCCTTGAACTCACTATGTTACTTAGGCTACCCTTGAACTCACAGCAATCCTCCTGCCTCAGCCTCCTGAGTTCTGGAATTTCAGGCCTATGCTACCATGCCCAGCTCAGTTCACATTATTATAATCATCCAGGGTCTCGCAGTGTGATTTTTTTTATTTTCTCTTGCTGTGTATTGAACCCAGGGCCTTACCCAGGCTAAGCAAGAATTCTGCTCCTGAGCTCCTGAGCTCCTGAGCTACATCCCCAGCCTGCACTTGTGAATTTATTTTTTAATCTATGTAGTTTTCCACACATATTAGTGGTTCAAAATTACCTGGCTGCTGTTATAAATAATTAGTTCCTTCCCCAAGTGATGTGGTACAATTATTCTCCATAAATCGCCCCCATTAGAAATCAACTCTGTCTTCCTACCCACTGATATTTAAATCTCTTTTCTTTTCTTTGAGACTAGGTCTTAATATGTAGTTTACTGTCGATGTCCGCTCCCGGCCGGCAGGAAAGACACACGACAAGGTCTGGCGGTGGTCAGGCTTTTCTTTATTCTCTCCTTATACAGTCTGCCCCGAAGCCTCTACCGGTCCGCTCTCCGCGGCTCCTTCCGTGCTTCAGTCTGCCCCGAAGCCTCTACCGGTCCGCTCCCCGCGGCTCCTTTTGTGCTTCAGTCTCTCTCTCTCTCGGGGGTGGAGGCACTGGCTATATATAGGATTAATAGCTAGGCAGACTACCCTGTGAGGCGGGAACTTAGTGGGGTGATAAGAAACAGGTGCCACACAGGCGGGCTCGATGAGAGGGGTAATCTAGCCCAGGCTTTTGTACTTTCCCACAGGCCTCGCAATCACCGCGTCTGATGACTTGACAGTGCCACGGCTCCCAACATCTCCCCCTATTTTATTTTAAATGATGGCTACGCGCATCGCAGCCCGTCCTGGATAGAGTGAGGGCCAGGAATGAACCGGACGGAACCTGGTTGCACATAGGCATGCACTCATTTCTCTCCACGAATCCCCTCGGAGAGAAATTTATCTAACAATCCAGCGGCTTTCGAGCAGAACGGGGTAGGGCCTGGCTTAGGTTGAGTCGTGCTGGGGAGGCACGCTCTTACCCGTCATTGACTCACCCACCCTGCTACATGTTGTTGTCTAGGGAGGAGAATGTGGGAAGCCTGTCACTTTTAAACTCGGTCGTAGGCCATGCGAGCGAGCCATGCGTATACAAGGGTAGCACATAGGGGAGCAAGCCGTTCCAGGCCCCCAAAAAGGGATTGTCCTGCAGTTCTTTTAGGGCTCATCTTGTTGTTGGGTCTGCGGTTGGCCTCTGGTGGAACAGGCCTGATCTTCAGTCGAGGGACTTGTCGCGTCAACCTCTCTGGGACCCACATTGGTTCTCGTCCCGATTCCTGCGGAAAGACACAAACCGCGCCTCGGCTTCCTCTTTTGTATCTCTGCCCTCCTTGACGGACCCTTCTCGGGAGCTTCCTCACTGTGCCTGTTCAAACACCTCGCGTACTTCTACAAGTTCTTGAGAGCTCCCCCCGTAACTACCCTCACTCTTTAGGCACGCGTGTATCATTTCCCACAATGGACGAGCAGAGACTGAAGCTCTACCCTCCCGCTCTGCTAGGGAAAGGTCTCTGCCCAACTTTTCCCAGGAGGGCAGGTTTACATGCCCTGTAGGCAGAAACCAGGGAGCAAAGCTGTCAATCTCTGCAAGGAAATTTTCTAAAGTCTTACGCCCCACCTTGAGGTCCTTGGACTTTAGGAGTCTCCGAAGGACCAACACCAAGGCTGTGTATCTTTACTTGGCATGTTTCCCATTTTTAATATATCTTCTGTTATTTTTACTTCTATGTTTATGTTTTACACTCTTTTATTACCTTAAGTTCTGGTGTTATGTTTCATACTCACCGCGTGAGGCCCAAGAAACCCGCCACTTACGCGTAAGGTTGAGAGGAGTCTACAAACCCTGTAGGTGCGCGCCACCCAGGGCCCAGGCTTATCCTCTACTCACCTGTCCTGCAGCTGCAGCACTGTGTAGGAGAATGCAGTCCACCGCCGCGTCTCGGGGTTGATCAATCCCCGTGCGGGCCTCCAAATGTCGATGTCCGCTCCCGGCCGGCAGGAAAGACACACGACAAGGTCTGGCGGTGGTCAGGCTTTTCTTTATTCTCTCCTTATACAGTCTGCCCCGAAGCCTCTACCGGTCCGCTCTCCGCGGCTCCTTCCGTGCTTCAGTCTGCCCCGAAGCCTCTACCGGTCCGCTCCCCGCGGCTCCTTTTGTGCTTCAGTCTCTCTCTCTCTCGGGGGTGGAGGCACTGGCTATATATAGGATTAATAGCTAGGCAGACTACCCTGTGAGGCGGGAACTTAGTGGGGTGATAAGAAACAGGTGCCACACAGGCGGGCTCGATGAGAGGGGTAATCTAGCCCAGGCTTTTGTACTTTCCCACAGGCCTCGCAATCACCGCGTCTGATGACTTGACAGTGCCACGGCTCCCAACAGTTTACATTACCCTTGAGTTCATTATATAGTCCAGGCTGGCTTCAAATTTGAGAAGATCCTCCTGCCTCTGCCTCCCAACTGCTGGGATTACAGGTGTGCGCCACCATGCAAGGCTTTAATTTAATTTACTTCTAACAGGAGAAAGCCCACTTTTACTCTTCTGTTCATTTTACACATGCCTTTATTGGTTCAATTGCACAAATAATGTCTGTTTGTTGTAAAGGAATAGAAAATACAGGTATATGGTTAGAAAACTAATAAATGAGTCTCATAATCCTATACCCAGAGAAAAACACAATATTTACATCTGTGTTCTCCTAAGGCTCTGTGTGTCCATACGATTTTTTAGTAATCTTAGGTGTAACACACCATCAATTTTTGTGTATGTGGGGGGGGATCAAACTCAGGACCTTGTGCTAGCCAGGCAAGTGCTTTACCACTGAGATATATCCCCAGCCTAGCATTTTCTTAACAACTTTTTTATTTAAAATATATCTGTTGGCTGGGCCTGGGACATGTGCTGATAACCCCAGCACTTGGAGACTGAGACAGGAGGATTGCTGTGAGTTTGAAGACAGCTTGGGCTACAGAGTTTGAGACCCTGTTCCAGAGAGAGATAGAGACAGAGAGACAGAGAGACAAAGAGATTTCCCTCCTTTGCTGGATGGTTTCTCCAGGCTGTGCCTGCTCTGATCCCTGTAGGTTGGTGGGGAGGGGGATCAGGACTCCTACAGTACACACACGGGATGAGTCAGACTTGGGTTGTGTTTTCTCCTCCTCTGTAAACACGGGAGGTCAGGCTGAGGTCGGTGAGGCCCAGGACAGGAGACCCAAGGGCCTGCTGGCCACTCGAGCAGAGAAGGATCTTAGCAGTGATTAACCTGCCAGTTCTAGGCAATTCCGGCACCGTGGCTGCCGCACGCCACTTGTCCCCTGGGTCACCTGTGGCAGAGGGAGGCCAGGGCTGCATTGTGGGAGAGACACAGAAGGGCCAGGGCAGGAGGGGCCCTGGGTTCCACCCCACCCTCTCCGCTGCTGGGAAACAGGGAGGGGGGTCAGAAAGCCTCCCCAACCCTGAGTTGGCTGTGGCCCAGATAGTCACCCTCAGCTGTCCATGCCCAGCAGCAGGGCCCTGACCCCCGTCCACACGCAGCCTGCATGGGGGTGAACTGCAGTCCCCACGAGGCAGTGATGAGCACAGTTGAGATCCGTGTCAGGTGCCCTGTGGACCCAGTCTTCCACACTCCTCCCCAGAGACCAGCTGCTCGGGAGGCTGAGACAGGAGGGTGAGAAATTCAAAGCCAGGCAGGGCTACTTAGTGAGGCCCTGTCTCAAAATAAAATCTAAAAAAAAAAAAGAAGGCCGAGTTGGGGTTGAAGGTGTAAATCAACGTGGCCTGGGGTTGATCCTCAACATCTCAAAGAAGAAAACAAATCCCCAGAGGAAAATAGTCTGACTCTTTTTTTTTTTTATTACAATTTTAGGTTCACACAAGGATCACAGGCACCACCGAGGATTTGTACCACAGGTAATGGAACTCGACTGTCTTTTCTGTCCTCCCCAAGCTGCTCCCAGTCTTACTTAACGACAGCAAAGTCAAGGTCAAAGGGAGCTGCCCCCCCACAGCTGCTGGGAAGAGAGGAGCCAGGTCAACTCCCAACTTCCGTGGCGCCCGTGACCTTGGCCGAGGAGAAAGCTGCGCCTCTTCACCTGTGAATCAAACACCCACACTCCCAAAGACAGGGTTCATCTCTCAGGCAACTCATGACAGCCATGTGTCACATTACAAAGGCCAGTTAAACCCGGGCAGGGGGCACATGCCTGTGATCCCAGCACTCGGGAGGCTGAGGCAGGAGGATTGCCCGGAGTTCAAGGCCAGCTGGGGGTTATGTAGCAAGACCTTGACTCAAAAACCAAAACATAGCCCAGCCCCGCCCACCGTCTCATCTGGCCAAGGAGCACACCACAGCTGCTGGCCGGAAGGAAGGAGCTGGGCTGAGCCGCTGACACCTGCTCTGAACTTGCCTGCGACCTTCTTTTGATCTGGAGAGCACCAGCACTACTGCCACTGCCTGGAGGAAGGAGCAAACCTGCTGAGGAGGTTTGAGGCCTACTTAGGCCATAAGGGAACCTTCTATCAGCCGGGGGAGTTTTGCCATCCAAGGAGCTGGATTGTTACACAATATCCAATCCCTGGGAGATTATGAGATCCTTGCTCTAGGGGGTTGGGGGCCCATTGGGCTTGCAGCCACACTATACTGGGCTTAACAGGATTTGGGATTGCCTGGACCACACCAGGTGGCTTCTATCCCTCAGGGGAGCTTTGCTACCAGAAGTGGAAACTGAGCAAATTGAGGAGGCTTTAGGTCTACCTGAGAGGAGCCTGGCAAGCCTCTTTTAATCCAGGGGCTCCACTGCCCATGGAGGGAGCTACTACCAGAGGTGTCCCAAGAGCCCAGGACCTAAGAGTCAATTTACAACACGACCAGGGGAAACTCTGGAACAACACTTGAAACACGGTAATATAGGAAAATGACAAAACAAAAGACCAAAATGCAATCTCAAACATTCGGTCCATCCCAAGAAAGCCTAGGAGCCATGTACATAGAAGAAAATGCATGCCATGTACCTGAAATACCTGAAACAATAGTAACAGAAATAAAGAAGCAGCTCCGGGCAGCTTTAAAGGAATTCAAACTAGAAATAATCTATCAGGTAAAAGAAGAAATAAAAAATGAAATGAAGGAGATGCTGAACATATCTAAAGAAGACACAGTTAAAAAATTGGAGGGACTAAACAAAAGGATAGAATCTCTGGATGAACAATATAAGAAACAAGCAATATATAAAACAGATGCAAAGAGGTATACAGAAAATCAAAACTCCATTGAAAGTTGTAAAAACCGCCTCAATGAATGCGAAGATAGAATTTCGGACCTCGAAGACAGGATTGCAGCCAGTGAACAGGAAAGGAAAGATCTTTTAAAAATAACAAGAAATCAGGAAATAACAATTCAACACCTGCAAGATGATGCAAAGAAAAACAACATAAGGTTGATAGGGATAAATGAAAAAGAAGGAGACAACATAAAGGATGTCAAGAGGATATTTAGAGAAGTAATTGCTGAAAACTTCCCAAACATGAAATTGGAAACTGATATCAGGATCAGTGAGGTATATAGAACTCCAAATAGCCATAACCAAAATAAAACTACACCCAGACATATAATAATCACCATTCCAGAAATCGAACAAAAGGATAGAATATTAAAAGCTGTCAGGGAGAAAAGACAGATCACCTATAAAGGAAAACCTATCAGAATCACAGCAGACTTCTCAACACAAACAATAAAGGCAAAAAGAGCATGGAGTGAAGTATTTCAGACCCTAAAGGAAAATGATTTCCAACCTAGACTGATGTACCCAGAAAAACTGTCCTTCAGAATTGATGGAGAAATAAGATACTTCCACGACAAAGAAAAGCTGAAGAAATTCATGATCACCAAGCCAATCCTGCAAAGAATACTGAAAGACAGTTTAGAATCACTTAAGAAAAAACCACTTAACAAAGCAGACAAATAGAACAGAAAGATAAAGATGCAACAGCAGAAATATAACATGTCAGCAATAAACCAATATATAACAGTTATGACCATTAATGTAAATGGTCTCAATGCACTAATTAAAAGAAAAAGACTGGCAGAATGGATCAAGAAGCAAAATCCAACCATATGCCGTCTACAAGAAATCATCTAACCCAAAAGGATACTCATAGACTGAAAGTCAAAGGATGGAAAACAATGCTTCATACAACAGGAGCCCAAAAAAAAAAAAAAAAAAAAAAAAGCGGGGGTAGCTATTCTGTTTGCAGACAATGTGAACTTCAAACCAATAATGATCAGAAGAGATAAAGCAGGTCACTACATACTGGTTATGGGAAAACTCCAAGAGGAAGAGATCACTATCTTAAATATATATGCACCAAATTCCAAAGCACCCAGTTATATAAAACAAGTAATATCAGAAATGAAAAACCAAATTAGCAGTAATACACTTATAACAGGAGATTTTAACACACCACTGACACCAATGAACAGATCAACAAGACAGAAAATCAGCAAAGAAATAAAAGAACTGAATCACACCTGTGAACAAATGGAATTGATAGACAAATACAGAGTATTCCACCCAACAACAATAAAATACGCATTCTTCTCAGCAGTACATGGGTCATTCTCTAAAATAGACCATATATTAATTCACAGAACATATTTAAACAAATGCAAAAGAGTTGAAATCATCCCCTGCATGTTATCAGATCATAGCGCTATGAAATTAGTAATTAATGACAAAAGATACTGCAAAAATCCCACAAACACATGGAAACTAAATAACACACTCTTGAGTAATCAGTGGGTCACAGAGGAAATTAAAGAAGAAATTAAACAATATCTACAAACAAATGAAAACACAAATACAACTTACCAGAATCTTTGGGATGCAATGAAAGCTGTCCTCAGAGGGAAATTTATTGAACTGAGTTCCTACATCAGGAAAATAGAACAAATACAAACAGAACAAATAACTTCATGCTACACCTCAAACATCTAGAAAAAGAAGAGCAAGTCAAGCCCAAAGCCAAAAGAAGAGAGGAAATAATAAAAACCAGAGCAGAAATCAATGCAATAGAGACTAAGAAAACAATCCAAAAAAATCAATGAATCAAAGAGTTGCTTCTTTGAAAGAATAAATAAAATTGATAAGCCCCTAGCCAACCTTATTTTTAAAAGGGAAGAAAAAGCTCAAATTCATGCAATAAGGAATGAAAAATGTGAAATCACTACAGACCCAATAGAAATACAGAAGATCATCAACTCCTATATCAAAAACCTCTATTCTCAAAGGTTTGATAACACAAAAGAAATAGACAGATTTCTAGAAGCATATGAAGTACCAAAGATAGGTCAAGAAGATGTAAAACTGCTGAATAACCCAATCTCT